AATTACGAAATTTGCAAGGGGCAGAACTATAATTTTGTAAAACCCTAGCCTCGAGGGCAAAACCATAATTATTCCAAAACCCTAATCTCGCCTGCACGTGCGGCGCTGCCGCTGCTCGCGTGCGACCGTTGCGACCTTTTCTACCTGCGGATGACGTGCACGGTTGGCTGCGGTTGTTGCCAGCGGCAGGCCTCTGCTACCGCGGGGCTGCCTCTGCCCACGCGTGACCACTGTCACTACGGCGGTTCCTGCCCACGCGTGGCTGCTGCTAACACGCGACCGCCGCCTGGGCTATTTGCCAGCATGCGACCGACCATTGCATGGACGGGTTCTGGCCATGTGTGGCCGGCCGTCATATGGGCACTATGATGCCCGCATACGACTGTCGCCTGCTGGGCTATGGTAGGCACGTTGCCCAGTGAAACTTTACTATATTTGCAGCAAGGTCGATCATTAGAGAAAAAGGGATCAATCATGCATCATAAATAAAATAATAGATCTAATATATTTGATCTCAAAAACCTAGGCTTTAATACCAATTATAAACATAAAAATTGTAATACACTATATTAAATACGAAAATAATCTTTATGTCAGGATTGAAATCAAATACTTAGATCTAGTTTAACGATGCATACCTTTCATCTTTAATCTAAGATCGCTATCAATAGGAACTAGATCCTTTCTCCTCTTTTCCTTTCACCTAGATTGATGGTTTAGTTCGTTGTGAGACATGCGTCTATTCGTGTCCTCAGTTCATAGAGGTCCTGCCTATTTATAGGCAAGAGCAGAGGGACTAAGATAAGATATTAGGATATTTCTTCCCATCAAGATTATCTCCTAAGGAATCATACTTTAAGTGGACTTCTATTCTATTGTCTAAAATATTTCAACAGAATCCAATTAGTTATATTATATATCTTATCAAATTATAAAGGGGCACAAAATCTAACACCTCTACCTTATTTTGGCCTCATCTTCTTTACAAACAAGATAACTATGACCTTTTCTTTTCTTCTTTTGTCATTCTCTTAGCTTTTTTCATGCAAGCTAGGAAACCTAGCTCTAAAAAAAGTTGAGGTCAGAAAAACTCAAATTTTCTCTTTCAATACTTAGGATTTTGGTCTTATAGATTATAGACTAGTGTTTTTTTACTTTTGAGTAATCTTAACTTTAAATTAATATTTAATTTTTAACTATATTTTGTATAATTCTCTTATGGTTCTAAGACCTTTAGTATAATCTTAATCTAAAATCAATAAATAGAGTCATGAGTGTCCCAATCTAAGATACTCAAAATCTTTTATCTTCTAATAATAGGTTCTATTCGAGTTGAATTGGCCCTTTTAAGGATATGATTAGGCTTTATGCTAGTTATAGGTACTTTGTAAACCAATCACATGAGTGATGGCTCATGTGAGACATTTCTTAATCTTTTTTGTTAATATTAATAATAATTTTTTTTACTTTATATTATGTGATGAATAAATATTATGATGTACTTGGATCTATGCAATGAGAATTGGATTATGATGAGATCATGATAATGAAGCTAATTCACCTTTAAATATAGATTATAAATATTCCTAATCATAGGTTACTCAAGAAGGACATCGAGATAATTGGATAGATCGATATACTATATACTTATCTATATGATAGAGGTAGCTGGTTTCATAGTTGCTTATGTGGGGATACTAGGGATATAGTGCAAGTACTGATTGGAGAATGAGTTCACTAAATGATCCGCTTACAGAATACTGGATAGTAAAAGATATCCCATTATCAGACAGTAATTTTGTAGTCACGATTGTATATATGGTTTTTTGACTTAAGACACTAATGATGCTTTGTTTGAGTACTTTATTCTTTGATATCAGACTTACAAGTATGGAAGTTTCAAATCTAATACATTAATCATTAGAAATAATAACCAATCTTATGAAGATAATTATGTGTTAATAAAGGATCATCCAATCTTGGTATCATGAGAGAAATATCCTATATATTCTCACTTAGGCAAATCCCTAGCTAGGGTCATTCAGATTAAGAGAGAATGAGTTCTCTAGGAGAATTCGATAAGAGTGAGATTCAAATTGATTCCATATGGGCTTGATAGTACCAAGCCCAGTATATAGTCTTTGGGATATTAGATAGATGAGAGCTTATAGATAAATGGTAACTAAGAACATATATGTCCAATGGATTATATCTGTTGTACTGTTTGCGCACTATGGCATAGTGGCCTAGTACATCCATAGTCGGTGAGTTAAGTGAATTATTATGAAGATAATAATTCACTAAGTCAAAAAGAATTCTAACATGTGCAACTTACAACCAACTCGATATTGAGCCTAGAGGGTCACACACTTATGGTGGACAATGCAACGAATAAAGGATTGGTTATAAGATATCCTCTAAGCCCCCGTTTTAATGGATTAATTGGGTGAGACACAATAAAGCTTAGAGTGGTTATTGGATAAGGATCCAATATCCATTAAGCTAGTGGTTATTAGATGAGGATTCAATACCCATTAAGGAAGATCCACTAGGGTTAGCAGTATGCGCTCTTTGTAAATAAGAATTAGGGCTTCATGAGTCATAGGCTCAACCCTATAGTCATCGGCCTCCTATCTCTTCCTCTTTATCTTTCTCTCAACCATGAGCTCTTTCCTGATATGAGAGGATAGCAAGAGGGTTGGCTTCTCTCTTGACTATTGTTGCGTGGTGGTGCGTGATCACTATAAGAGAACCCGCTATGCAGGGAGGTGCGTCGTCGCTACATCCGCTTTGTAGATTACCGCTAGAGAGGAGTTCACGAGAGCTCCTTCATCCAATAGACCAAGATATACGATTTAGGGGATATACGATCTTCCCTAGGTGAGAACGTTTCAATTTATTGATACGATTTTATCATTTTGAGTTTTACACTCTTAGTTGTCGTACTACGATCTGATAAGATCGGTTTTGGGAACGATTTTTGTTTTTATTTTACGCTACGCATATGATGCTCTCTAAAGTTTCCCAATACTTTATTCTTTTAATATATTTTAAAAGATTTCTTAAGGTCCCATGGGATTTGAAATTGAGTAAATAATACCTCTATACACCAAAATATAAGGTTTATAAATTTAGATAGTCCTAACCCAAATTTAGCAAAATAGAAAAGGTGTTAATAGTAATTAGGTGGTTATTTTGGCATCTAAATGATTCTATTTTAAACTAAAAATTAGTATATATTTAGTTTTATGTATCTCATAGTTTTCTACAAAATTTCGTGATAATTCAAGATTGTTTGGTTAGCTAGCAAAATTTCTTCATAGAATTATGTGATGGTTTGAATGAAACTAATAAGTTTGTTTAGTTATAGTATAAATTATTAAAAAAATATTAATAAAATTTAAGTAAATTCTTAGGTTTAATATATTCTATTTTATTAAGAATTTTATTAAAAGAAATTTATGAATTATTGTTATGAATTATTATAAATTAATAATCCAATAGGTATGATTCTTAATTAAGGTATTTCATGACTCTATGCTCGCAATTTGATAGGTGTGTCATTCCCTAGCACACTCAATAATTAAAAAATATAGTTTTTTATTATCATTTTTATTTTTAAGTTAAATCAGATAAGTATAAGTTTAATTCATTATAAAATAGTAGTCGTATGAATTATTGTATCCATATTATACATTAGAAAATATGTTTCAAATGATATGATTATCATTAGCTAGACAAAAGTTAAATGTGAGTATATATATACATATATATATATATATATATATATATATATAAGAGTGCACATATTTTCTATGATATATAACGTGGGAGTGCACGGATATGTTACGATGTGCAATGCACATATATACTATAACGTATGGTGTGAGAGTGTACGTATATTTATGATATATTGTGTATGAGTATATATATATACTGTGACGTTTAGTATAAGAGTGCACATATATATTACAATGATATATGATGTGGGAATGCATATATATATATATTATAATATAAGATGTAGAAGTTCAAAATTTTGGTATATTTCTTATACGTGTATATAGAGATTTTGAATTATTTTGACATAGAATTTTACCTCTTCTTCTTGCATATGTTATATTATAGGGTTATATTTACTTAAAAAGGTCATATAATAAGATATTTATTATTAAATATCAATAATTTTAAAATATTATATATATGATAAGATAAATGTTCACTTAAATAAAATTATAAAGATTTATACTTATTAAATGATTATTAACTATGGACCCTATTTTGTAAGTAAAAATATTAGTACCTCACTCAAGTGATTGACCATGAACGTGAAGTGTGTACTCAGATTCAATTCTTAAAATCTAGAACAAGAACGTTAGCCCTTCATTGATCCCAAACCGGCTAAAAATAAATAAAACACAAGTGAGTTCACGATTTAACGTTAGCCCTTCATTGATCCCAAACCGGCTAAAAATAAATAAAACACAAGTGAGTTCACGATTTAACGTTAGCCCTTCAAACTCAAGATTTAATAACATGAGTTTGAAACCTTAAGAAATCTTTTTTATTTTTGTTTTTTTAATCAATAGAAACCAATAACCAAAATCAAAACCGAAATCGATGATTTGATAACCGGAACTGAGATCAGTAAGAATCAAATCGATTCCGATTTTATTTTAAGTGGAATCGGAACGGTCAACTACAGGACTATTCCGATGTATATTTTGTTGTAATGGATGGATCCCAGCCGTCGGTTATGAAGTTAATGAATCTACTTAATCTACTGAAATTGAAATTGATGGTTACGAAAGGATGAACCCTTTTGATGGTACCCTTCGTGCAATTCCTACGTACGTGCATGCAATTCGCATTCATCAGAACATCCGATCGAAGATGTATCTCTCTCTCACACACTCTCTCTCTTCCATCGTAACATAATTAAACAAATAGTCTTATTACTATTATTAATATTTTCAGAAAAAAAAATAATAATAATCCGCTGATGTGATACTGCCTCGAGCTTCACCTAATAATTACTGGCAACCACAAGGTTAGATGGGACCTACGAGTCCCAAATGGGGCCGAACGCAGGTATTCCAGCTTTGTTGCATGCCCTGATGACGTCCCTGCTGCCTTGAGGGTTGCTCGTCACCACCACCACCTCCGCCTCCCAATCCCTCGCCGCCTCCACCGCCACTTGCGCCACGTTCGGCCGCCCCAACACCGCCGTGTCGTGCACCACCACCTTCTCCTTCGGCTGCCGGCTCAGCATCTCCTTGATCTCCCTCCCGAAGTTTTGCTCCACCCCTTTGGTCACCCACACCAGGCGGACCTCCGCCGCTGTGGGCTGCAAAATGAAGGAAAGGAAGACGCAGATGCCGGAGCCAGTGGCCACCAGTACCACCCGGTTGTACATGTTCACGAGGTACGGCAGGCCGGCGAAGTGCACCCCTCGTACCCACAGGTGGGTCGGCGGGTCCGAGACGAGCCCTCCGGTGAAGTCGCCCACCGCGCCGGCGAGCATCATGTGGCCGTCCTTGCCGTCTGATATGATCCCGAAAGCGTGCCAATCCGACAAGGCCGACCTGCTGATCCGCCCCAGGAGACCGGCTTCGACCCCGCCGGCGAACTTTATGATGGAGGCGTGACTGGACGGCACGGTCACTGTGACCGGAACTCGTGATGCCGTGACCCAGGGGAGGATGATGAAGAAGGTGATGGTCGAGGTGAACCAGAACTCCTGCTGCTCGATGAGCTTAGAGCCTCTGAGGTTGTCGTAAGATTTTGTGGCCGGATCATAGCCGACGGTGAGGACGACGAACGCCCAGAGAAGGGCGAGCGCCGTCCATCCGGCGAACCGATGCGTCCGCTCGAAGAGGTTGTGGTGGAGGTGTCGGACGAGCGGGAACGCGGCCATGCAAGAGAGGCAGAGTAAGGCGAGGATCGCGGAGGCGACGACGACGATCTCGTCGGACGTGTCCTTCCGGGACTGGAGCGTGAGCACGAGAGCGTAGATGAGCCAGGCGACGGAGGAGACGCCGCAGCTGCTGTGGATTCCGCCGAGGGACTGGAGGAAGGATGTGGCGGCGGTCTTGACGAACAGGGGCACCCAAGGCCGCCCGAGCGCCTTAACGGCGAGCCAGAACACGACGCGGAGGAAGGCTTCGCTGCGGCAAAGCGTCAGGGCCAAGATGTTGCCCATGGAGAAGAAAGCCGCTCTCTTCTTGGCGTAGGGGAAGTGGCCAGTGACGGCAAGGACGAGCGCGACCACGTTGACGGTGAAGCAGACGGCGAACAGCCGCTTGTACACAGTGAACAAACCCTGATCCAGCAGTATGACCGACAGGCGGGACGACTCGCCGCTCTTCCTCCTCACCGAAGGGCTTCTCGTGGCCGCAGGCTGGGGGACTTGTTCTCCGGACGCCTGCTGCTTCTCGACATCGTCGTCCTCGTCCTCAAGGTCACAGAAGTGGCTACTGGAACGGCTCGTGGACTTCTGTAAGTCGGTGGCGAAGGGTTGGACCTTGAAGGAGCTCAGCGAGACCTCGCGCTCGCAGGAGTTGTCGCCTGCCGCCCGAACTCGGACGTCGAAGAGGACGCTTTGTGGGTGGTTGATCTCGAAAGAGACCCCTCGGCAGCTGGAGAAGCGCTGCAGATTGGTTGGCTCCGCCATGGCTGCACTCAGGAAAGGAGTGGAAGGTGCAGTTACAATAAATAGGAGTCCCTCTACCGCTTGCAATCGTCGATTACATGGTAAGGCGAGAGATGTGCCGCAGAGAGAATAGTTGACGAGGACAATCCATGATTGAACGTTTCGAATCCGGCAGTAGTGGAATTTAGCTTTTTCTTTTTTGGTACCACAAAATTTCTTGCGCACTTTAACGAGCTAATATTTGCGTCACACACAGGTCTCATCTGGTAGGAAATTTAAGACTTGTATTACTATAAATGGAAAATATTATTAGAATTCAAGCTCTGAATCAACGCGGTCAGAATCTATGGTAGATCCATTAAAAATCCTGATTTAACGATGTAAAGATCGGAACCGAGCTCGTATAGATATGATGTAAAACCTAATTTAATCGTGGTATTTTGTATCTATTGACGCATCTTCTGTCATCATTATGTCATATTTCATTACGCTGTCAGTGGTGGCACCACTACCACCTGACGTTTAATCCGCATCGAGCTCTAGAATTATGGCTCGAATTGAATCCGGATCCAGATAGACGGGTACTTAGTTTGATCCGATCGGACCCGATGTTCCGACGAACAAGGTCAGCGAGGAGGCGGCTGTCGGGGCAGTCGGGTGGGAGCGGGTCTCGTACGCAGACAGGGTGGCTTGGCTCGGAGTCGTCCGGGGAGGTCGCAGTGTCAAACACGGCAAGTCGGAAGCGATTCCGCATGGCTATGATTTTGTTTGGCAGTGCTCCAATAATGGTGCACTGTCGCATCAACGAGGCCGACACGTCGTCGTCTTAACATTAATTCCGTGCAGGGTAGTGAATGAATCCCTGCCGTCGGATCGAATCACGAAGCTTGATGAGCAGGCTTGAATAATATCCTTGATAGTGAGAATAAATGAGAAAATATTTATTCTTCATCGCCAGTATATAACTTTTTTCTCATAATCTCAGTTAAGTCATTCGAGTTGATCAGATCAAATTTTCATATTTATTTTTTATTGGAATGAATTGAAAATCGATCGTAGCGTATACAATTCCTGATGCAGAATATACTCATATCAGTCTTGATCTACTGATTGCTATACTCATATCAGTCTTGATCTACTGATTGCTATTAAGATGGTAACGTGGGTAGAAAGAAGCCTGCATCACCCCTTCTCAGCAGCAAACAACAGAGCAACAATCTATCGAACCCAATAGATCACGATTTAGGGGTGTGAAAATAAAAATCTTTAAAATTTTCATATAAGGGTGACATCACATACAAATAGAAAATAAAAATCTTTAAAATTTTCATAAATTATGTTCAACGTTGTGTAAGAAATATGTAAAATTGAAAACTATGTTTATGAACAATTATATTTTGCCTAGAAAGATCGTATATCCCTGAATCTATACAGATATGTAGAAGATGATGAACAAGTATCCTCCTCTCTAGCGGTGAGCCACACAGCTGAGGAGGAGAAAGGGAGAGGAGAATAGGAGGTGACGACCAAAAAACTTTTAGCCATGGGTGTTTGGTTCCCTTCTATTTATAGAGGCCCCCTATCAATTTAACCTAAATGAATCATGTCATATTGGATATCGGATCTCCATCCAACTACCCAAGCATATTAGATTAGTAGATTTCTATCCAATAATCTCTTATTAACTCTTATTGGATCTCATCCATATGATCAAATAATTTAGGGGCTTATTGGATATCCAATAAAATAGAGGCTCTAATGGATATCTCATATTTGAACCTCTACTTGTTACAATATCAACCATATGTGTGTGATCTAGGCCCAATATCGAGCTGGCAGTGAGTCATACCTATCAGAACTCCTTCTAGCTCAATGAATTATTATCTCCATAATAATTCACTCGATTCATCGACTACGGACGTCCTAGGCCACCACGTCGCAGTTACAAATGATACAGGGGAATCCAAACCATTGGACTTGTCTATCCTCGGTTACCGTATATCTATAATCCTTTATCCATCTAATACCTCAGAGATTGTATACCAGGCATGGTACTGTCAGACTCATATAATTTCTATTCGAGTCTCGCTCTAATCGGATTCTCTTGAAGAACTTTTTTTTTTTTCTAATTCTGAATGACCCTGACTAGGGATTTGTTTGAGCAAGAATACATAAGATATTCCTTTCATGACACTGAGAGCGGATGATCCTCTATCAGCACTCAATAGCACTTGTAAGGTTTGGCTACCACTCTCGATAACTGATTATGCTAGATCTATAACTTCCAAACCTATAAGTCTGGTATCAAATAGTGGAGTACTCATCCAAGACATCCTTGGTGTCTCAAGTCTAAGGACCAAATAAACCCACTAGGACTACGGAATCACTATATGACAATAAGGCATCATCAATAATCTAACATGAGCGGATCAATAAGTGAACTTATTCTCCAATGAGCTCCTCCATTATATCCATAATGTCCACACACACAAGCAGTTATGAGACTAGTCGTCTCCATCATATGTACAAGTATACAGTACATCAGTCAGTCCGATTATCTCGATGTCCCTCTCGAGTAACCTATGACCGGGATTATTTAGGGTTTATGTTTT